ACTGTTAAAAATCGTCAACTTTGACATGCTCCACTTCCCAAACCCCCTCCATCTCATCAAAACGATGACTTAAACCCCCCCTAATTCCCCAAAAACTACCTACCACCCCACCCTAACCAACAATCAGACTAATCCTTAATCCTAGGAACCCCCAATACAATATAACCATTGTCGATTGTCTCTCCTTTCGATGCATCGTTGGGAAATAAAAATATCTAAATCTCCCAGAGCGATCCTCGGGCCAATCGCCGAAGGCTAACCGTATCTTTCCTATGTTTCTTTCAGACACAGCGATGGACTTTCAGTTCGGCGAGGGCCGCGAGTGCGTGAACTGCGGAGCGATCTCTACGCCCCTGTGGAGACGTGACGGCACCGGGCATTATCTATGCAACGCGTGCGGACTTTATCACAAGATGAACGGAATGAACAGACCGTTGATCAAACCCTCTAAACGGCTGGTAAGTTGGTCGTCCGAGACACGATGCGGTCCGTGCTGGTGCGCGCGATCCGGAGGAGAAACGTCCAGTTCTCCGCTGTCCCCGCATCATCGAGTTTTCGCCGTAGACGGCGACTCGTCGCGCGATCCACGAATGGAACGGATGTTGGGATTTCAGACAGCGACCAGAAGGCTGGGGCTGTGCTGCACGAATTGCGGGACCCGCACCACCACCCTCTGGAGGCGCAACAACGAGGGCGAGCCGGTGTGCAACGCGTGCGGTCTCTACTTCAAGCTGCACGGGGTGAACAGACCCCTAGCGATGCGGAAGGACGGCATACAGACGCGGAAACGCAAGCCGAAAAAGACGCCGGAACCGAACGCCAGACCTTCTGCTGGGGACCATGAGGCCACCGCCGTCTCGAACGCTTCGTCGCCGTCCAACGGTGAGCAAAATGGCGATTTTTAATTCTTAACGCTGAACCTATACCGACGTTTATTTTTATCTATTTCTACTGTAATCGATTAAGTAAGTTACTCGCGCGGATTGGTCTTCAAGTTCCTTTTTTCACTCGCATGCGAAAATATTTCAATAATACGTGAGACGATTGTATTTATATTGTGTATAAGAATTATACAGAAAAGTGGGAAATGGGTATTTGATCTGTCGTTGTAGGTTTCGTTTTGACATCGCTGTTGAATATTCGTTCAGGTCCACTCGTAGAGTAATCGAATATAGAGAAGAGGACACGTTTTTAGCAGGGTGAATTGTAGAGTCAAATATAGTCACGGTGCTATCTTAAGTTTAGAATAAGAATAGTTAATTAAATACGTTTGATAATTTGCCTTGTGGAATAGCGGGAACGTTTCTAGCAGGATGAATAATGAATAGTCAACTATAGTCACTCTACAGAATAACACATTCTTTACAGTACGCTCTTATAGTACACTCTTTGCAGTACACTCTTTACAGTACGCTCTTTAAAATAACAATAGGTACCGAACGACACATCTGTCTTTTAGAACAGTGAAAACGTTTCTAGCAGGATGAATTGTAAAGTAATACAGTCATCTATAGTCACTCTGCAATCTCAAGTTTAGAATAACAATAGTTCCTAAGCTACACTTGATAATCTTTCTTGTAAAACAGTCACGGGCAACGTATCGACGTCAACGATTACCATCCCGCGGATTTTTATTTATCTACGCAAAATCTAAAGTTCCAAGCAACTACAAAATACACACACTATACAACAACACCCGAAAATATTCGAACTAAGATTCCTATCTTAATAATCTCATCGTAAAAGAAATTCCTATTTAAATTCAATTTTTCCACGTTCGCAAAGATCGTATTTTGCATAAAGATTCTGACTATCATAAACTGTGAAAGTGGCTATCATAAATTGCCCCATGCGTGGTCTACGCTTTGTTCTCTCGCTCTCTACCCATGACTCTCAACTCGACACGACGCTCTTCTCGTGTTCCACAGAACTGAAGAGCAACCAGCAGCAACAGCAGCAGCAGCAACAACAACAACAACAACAGCAACAACACCAGCACCAGCAGCAACAGCATCAAATCGACGGTTCCAAGCCGTCGAGCGGCGCTTCCAGTTCGACAGACAGACCAGTCTACCTAGGCCACACGTCCCTGCTGGCCACAGGCAGCGTGGCCACCGTGAAAACGGAGCCCCGAAGCTGCGACGGCATCGTCGGGCAGCCCTACTCCTCGTACTACCAGCATCATCCCCATCAGTTAGGCGTGTCGACCAGCGAGCATCAGCAACAGACGTACTACGGGAGCCAGGAGGCACCCTACCATCATCAGCACCACGTCACGGCCGCCGCAAAACTCCTCGCCTCATCGTAACTCGTCCATTAACAGTCAAAAGACGAAGGAAACCTTTCGCGGAATCTTCCACATGGAAGTGCACGAGGCACGAAGGAACAGAAAGAAAAAGTACATTACCATGCGTCTGCACCGTCGATGACGATCCAGGTCACGTTTGGAGTCATCCTAAGACCCAAGAAACATCACCTTAGCTATAGCAAAGCAACATGGCGATTTTTGTGAAGCCTGAAAGCCAGCATCAAAGAGTATATTCATCGAATGGAGTCGAAACTTATAACTTGGAATTGTGGAGAAAATGACTCTCTTCCCGTGGCTCATTTATTGAAAATAAATAAGGCTGGATTCCGAGACCTTGAATGAAAAAGGTTTGGTGGGACCTCCTCGATCATGAGTATCATCATGTACAGTGTTTCATCTGCGACGCAACTATTCATAAAAATTAGTGTGTTACAGTTGAGTGACGTTCCTCGTCTATCGACTTTCCCTAGAAGTACGTTCGACCAAGGACCACCCTTTCACCGAAGAGGTTCCTATATGAAAGCATCCGATCAACTGTTCTTCGACGTTATTTCGTACCACCCCTTCCAGTCCCCTGGGAACTTTTTTTTTTGTTAGGAAACGTCGTCGAGCCGGGTGAGTCCTTCGAGCAAACGAAGGCAAAACGCGCTTGTGTCGTCGTACTTGTGTTTCTTCTAGGGCTGAAACTATTCGTCTATACTGAGATATTCGAGGTTTGTTCATAGCATTCGAGTACCTGTACGAGATATTCGAATACTAAATTATTCGAGCAGTCCGAGCTCTAGTTTCCTCGCTGTTCCTTGGTGAGCTCGCGACCGTTATCATTAGACCGCGGATCTTTATGTATTTATAGAATATTTGAATGTGCAAGAACCTACAAAATACAAACAATATGCAAGAATGTTCATGTTATAGCATTTGCAGATTAAAATAAATTCAATTCTAATTAGGTTCAATTTTTATAGACACGTTCGCGAAGATTTTATTTTGCATAAAGATCCGCAGTCTAGTTATCACCATACTGACCGTTCGCGCCTGGAAATTACCTAGTTGTAAATAATTGTATCGGACCACGGTGTATCCGGAGTGATCGACGCGATCCGGCCAGAGGACGTGCTACCTCTGGACGCGCGGGGCTCTCCGAATTAGGGATGTTCGATTCCGCGTAGATTTCTGCAATTTATATTCGTAATCGCATCTAACCTAAACATCGCAAAGTATACTTTGGTCGTTAATTAGAGTAAACGATTCATCCGATCGACAAATTCGCGAGAATCGAGCGTCCGTAATTCTGTGCGACGAATTTATCCGAGATGGGCAGAATTTGTATTCGAACGACGAATAAAAGTACGACGCAGGTATTCGTTTACCTGCGATCGTTCGTTTCGCTAGGTATACGTCGTTTTATAATTCAGACCGTAATTTTTAGACGGATCAAAGGCTGTTCGTTTAGCTGTTTTATTCGTTGTTCGAAATTTTGTAGCCAAGGAATTTTGGGCCGAGGAATTTTGCCCGTCTCCGACTCGAAACTAAAACCGTGCGAGCGAGCACGAAAACGAGAACGAAGGAAACCGTAACAAAATGTCGGTGTAATTTATTGGCCCGCTTTGTCTTGCCGCCTCCTAAGCTGCGCGTACATTATTGCTCAAAAGTCTCGGGGATATTTAAAGTCTAAAGTTCTAAAAAGTGTTCGTTGATTTTGTCTCGCACGATATTTTGTACGATTAAAAATTTTAGAACGTGTTAACCCTTTGCACTCGAGAGCTGACTCTCTACCTAATGTTTCTTTAGGTTTAATTTCTTTGGAGCTCGAAGTGTCGATAAAATGATTGCCGGTGAGGCACGGGTGATCTTATTCTCAAATCTAGATAGCTTAGAATTCATGGCAATAGAATGCTAAGAAACATTTCGAGTTGCTGGTAGATACCAGAAAAAAAGGCCTCGAGCGCAGAGGGTTAATTCTTTCTAGGAAGAAAATAAATGTATTTCTCATCGGCATCGAATATTAGAGCTTCGTTAGAAGGAGTTCTGCGTCCTAACGACTTTTGAGTGGCAGTGTATAAGCTCGACAAGTTCGATAAGATCCCTGACGGAGTGACTTGAATGTGGAGAAGCGAACGATAGGTACGACACCATTGGCCTGTGCGTAGAGTGACCTAGCTTGAGTAACCTAGAGCGTCTCATCCGATACAATACTACTCAAAAGCGAGTTGATGTCATACTCTTGATAAAGTCCAGGCGATTGGACTATAGTAAAGACTGAATAAGTGGAAGAAAATCGGAACCCAAACAATGCAGTTCTGTGTTTACATTTGGCTCGAGTCGAGCGTCGAACATGGAAAAGGACAAAGGGTGAAAGAGAATGAGGTCCGAGGAAAAAAGTAGTCGACAGAAGCGTATCAATCTGTTAGAATCATATTACATTGCTCGTCGAGCGTCAATGAGCACCCCCTTCAGTGGTGGAGATAATCATCTTGCATTTATCCAGTAAACCCTGTCTCGCACTCGTCCAGTCTTTACCATATATCTCAGTCTATACCATAAAGCTCTATATCCATACCTAACCAACGAATGTCACCCGACAGTGTATAAAGGACTACGAAATGACGACGAGGACCAACGTCGACAACCATCGTCCCAGGGATCTTATCCATTTCGTCGAACGACACGTTTATCGATGAGTTTTGTCGAGAATCGTCCGAATCGATCGGTTCTCTGTACAGTTCCTGTATAATTAGTTCTGCGACCCGCAATAAAGAGAACAGCTTTCGATCTTACCGCCTGTCACGAATCACGAGAAACGTCTGGACAAACCCCTGCTCGAGCTGTCCGCGATTCCTCGTCAGTGCCCGGGCAAATATTATCGTTTCGCGGTCCGACGACCCGAGTGACACTTGCACGCGTCAAACCCCAACCCCCGACACGTCCGTCTCACGACCTCGCTTCAGTCGGTGGTCGTCGATAAACCAAAGCACCGTTGCCTTCACCTGGACACCTTAGTCTCAGTCTCTATCGTCCCATGGACGAGGCAACAGTCGCGGGATTCCCGACTCTTCGGCTTCGATTTCGCTGACCTGGAAGAATTCTGTAAGAATTCGATCTCCCGCAGGAGAACTACTTCAGCTTCGAGATGGGTAAGTATTTTATCGAGCGTTCGTTTACTGCGTTGGAGTTTTGTAGAAAATATACGTTGATTGTTGATGAACTAGGACGCTGGGTGCTCAGCGTAGAGGTGTTGCTTGGCAGAGTCCGTGTGCTCAAAGCCTTGTAGTTTGAGTGAGAAGAGTGTTTCTTCATGGTTAACGGCAACTAACTTCGATATCAGTAGAAGATCAGTGGAAGATAGTCGAAGTCTGAAAGGATAAATCGTTATCACATCCCTGTCGCGTCTACTATAGTGCTAGTTTAACACGTTCACGCCGGCGCTGTTATTTTTCTTTCTTGCCATGAGACGGGGTAATGGCACACCATAGATACGCGAGAGCGAGCTCCACCGATGGTTTGTTTTTACGGAGCTACTTTATTCGCCTGTATGTACTGCACACTTTTCTCGTATACTTTTTCTTACGACACTTCTTTTTTTTCTTATCATCTTATTTCTTCCCATTACTTACCACAGGGCTTTCTATACTTTTTATATTAGAATTAGCTTGAAAAAAAACTGGGGACCGTGTGGCCGGGATTCGAACCCGGGCTCTCAAGCATGGTAGTCGGATACGTTCCGTTCTGTTCCGTTCTGTCCCAACTATCAATGGTACACGCCGCTTGATGGTGCACACAAATGCGAGCCACCGGTGGTACACGCCGCCTGATGGTGCACACAAACGCGAGCCACCGGTGGTACACGCCGGTGTAAACGTATTAAACACCTGCCATGTGAACGAGAAGAGTGTTCTTCATGTTCAACACCAACTAACTTCGCTATCAGTGTCGCTATCGCGTCTACTACAGTGCTTCCGTCTTCCCTCCGTCACACTCAGTATTTCTGGACTTGAAGAAATGATTTATTTATTCCCTCCGCGCGATAAACCACCGTGTTTACAGCCTCTGTTATTCGTACAGTGCCTCCGACGAGGCTCCTAGGAATTTATTTGCCTCCTAGAGACGTACCATCGTACGTATTATGCTTTGCAACCGTCGGCCATGGCGGTTTAGAGAGTGCCAGTATATACCATCGTGTTGGCCGTGCTCGCTCTCAAGCGAAAAAAAGACTTAATCTGCTGGTTTCGAAACAGGAAGAACGCTGCCCACGCCAGTGGCCTGCAAAGTGTGCGGCGATCGTTCCTACGGGAAGCATTACGGGATTTATTGCTGCGACGGTTGCTCGTGCTTCTTCAAGCGTTCCGTGCGTCGCGGCGCTCTCTTCACTTGCATAGGTGGGAAATGAATTTAACCTTTTGCACTCGGATGTCTAAAGTCGGCGACTGACTTGCAACAGAACGCTGTAATGCGGCTGCACTTTACTTTGGCGGACCTAAAATTTCCAAGTTTCTTTCACATAATTCTATAAAAAAAAAAAAAAACTTGAAAATTTTAACTCCGCCATAGCAAAGTTTAACCCTGTTTGCGCATTTTGGAAGATGGGACAGAGTGCAAAGGGTCACGTTGATTCGATTACGAAGAAGAGATTACGAAGCGTCTGATGCTGGAACGTTTCGTGTTCCAGCCAGCACGGGGACATGCGTCGTCGATAAAGCGCGGCGCAATTGGTGTCCACATTGTCGACTAAAGAAGTGCTTCGCCGTTGGCATGAACACAGCAGGTAAGGCTGCCCTTCAGCGAAACGAGATGCAAACAAAGCCGCGTGTGCGGGACACGCGGCCTCCCCTCTGGTGCTTGACAAACCACCAGTCGATTTCCGTCGCGGATTATTTTTACAGGAGTGTCCGTCGATGTTTGAGCAAGTTGATATATCGAAGTACGACGTATCGAGCGATGGGTTTCTGCCAAAGGTTGCTTTTCGGAGTCGCGTTTCTTTTCACTTGGAATTTCGATGAGAAGAGGGTTCCTTTAAACTCGACGCTTCGTGGAACTTGAAGGTTTCTTTACACCTTTGAGTATATAGACAAAGCTATATACTATACACTTATATGAGTATATTTTATATACTCAAAGCCATTGAGCTCTATCCTAACTGGAGTGCGAACTGTGAGAGAGAAGCCGGTCCGAGAGAGATGCAAGATGAGTGGTTCCGGTGGTACTATCCTATAGCAAATTTATGTGTGGAGGGAGAACAGACTCCTCTTTGTTTGAATTTCGCGGTACTCTAGGAATTATTTACAGATTAATTATGTACAGATTTTAACTTTATTTCCTTCTTGTTTATATATAAAACGATAGAAACATTAATAATATAATAGAAACATTACTATGTCATTAATGAAATAGTATACATAATTTACATACCATAATTTAGATCATACAAATATATACAATCTGGTATAGAGCTAAATTTTATTATTCGTCGCAATTCAATTTATATTGTATTTATCGAATTTTATGCGGAAAAGAATCTGAAAGTAACTCACTCGACAATGGTCAGCGATGCTCGGGTAGGTTATGTTACCGCGTACGTTTGTTCCCCCTCTACAAATAAATTTGCTATAGGATAATACCGGAACCACTCATTTTGCATTTCTCTCGGACCTCCGTCGCCTCTACTTCTTCCTACAGGAGAATATAGGAAAAAGTAGAGGCGGCGGTTCTTCGCACTCCAGTTAGGATAGAGCTCAATGGCTCTAGCACAAATCTACTAAATACGTCCAGTGACAGACTGCAAAAAACGTAAAAGTGCGTTGCCCGCATAGACCAAAGTTCAATCAAAATTGAAGGTTCCCATGTTAGTTCGAGGCTACTCCCTACAACCATCTATCTCTCTATCTCTATCTCTATCTTTATCTCTCTCTCTATCTCTATCTATCTACCTTTATCTCTCTCTCTCTCTAATTCGGAACGTCTCGACTTGTTGGAACTTTTCCACCTTTAATTAGCGGTGCAAGAAGAGCGAGGGCCACGCGTTCGAAACAGGATCGCAGCGGTCGTCGACGGAGATTCGAACGTCTCGTGGAACGTCAACGATCTTCCGGAGAGGTTCTCGTCCCAGTCGATGCCGACACTCCGACCAGAAGGGCTGCCGATCTACCATGGTACTGGTACATTCTTATTCTCTACGATGCCCCCTGCAGGAGCTCCGAGGATCATCGCCGCGGGTAATGAGTTTATCGAGCAGGGAATCTTGCAAACTCTCGGTTAGGAGTTTGTCTTTGACGTATCGTTCGGCAAAGAAGGAATATAGGGGATGTTCTATAATTTCTAAATATAGAAATACACGTGCAGAAATTTAGAGATGTGCGAAACCCTAGACTTTGAATAAATCTGAAGTCTGCCGATATGTCTGTCTCGTTTCCTTCTTTGGAAAATGTTGAAAAGAGGAGACGAGACAAACATATCGGCAAACTTCAGGTTTATTCGAAGCCTAGGGTTTCGCCCATCGCTGTGCAGGATCAACGATGCGATACGAGATCGCTGCCCAAATATTTCTCGCGACGGTCCGAGCAGCTAGACAGCATCGAGAGTTCTCGATGCTCGGGATCGAGGAACAGAATCGAATCCTACGGAAAGGATGGGCAGCTGCGTTCCTCCTGCGTGCAGCCATTTGGCCGGTCGACCTGTCGAACTTTCGAAAACGAGACGATTCCATCAGCGACGGTGCTGCGACCGCTTACGACGCTCTGGTCGCGGCGCGAGCCACCATATCGAAGCTGCGCCTCGATCGTATCGAGACGTCCATTCTGGAAACATTGGTTCTCTGTAGACCTGGTAAATATTCCACGCGGCGTATAAGTAACTCCGCCTTGTACTTATTGTCACCTTTAACTTGTTCGCTCTTGTCGAAATTCAGAGATCGCCGACACTACGAACGGCGTTCGAATAACGTCTCGAGCAACGGACGCAGCAGTGGAGACTTTGGTTCGTCATCTAGACGCTAGAGTCGAACGATGCTCCCCGAGACTCGCAAGGATCATGCTAGTCCTTCCTATCCTGACGGCTTGCTGTCCGAGGGAGCTGGCTGGCGACCTTTTCGCTCCCATTATCGGCGACGTCGATCTGGAAAGAGTCATAGCATCCGTCCGTTGATTTTAGTCTCGAAAGAGATGAGTAGGGAGATGTGGAAATATTTGGAAAGGAGGGGATCATAGGCATAGTAAACTGATAATTACGTTAGGATAATTAGGTTGGGATAATTAGGTCACGATCTGCGACGACAAACGCACCTTTATATTGTATTTGCATTTATTCAAGCAAAAAGTAGATCGTGAGCTCACAGGCCCCATTGATCGTGTACAAAAGTAAGAATACAAAAGTAGGAATACAAAAGTAGTGTTTATAAATGCTAATATGAAAGTCGTAACTTAGAGATTGGAGGAATAAGAAGTTCGGTGTAGGTTTCTAATGTCTAAATACGAGTTGCACAAATTAGATAATAGGTTAAATATCAAACGGAGATATTGCAAGCCTGTAGAAATTTGCTAACTATTTCAAGAGCTTTCAGGTTTGTATACACTTGAATTTTTTGAAAAAGAGATCTAGGTATTGGAGTCAGATCTATGGATCCAATTGGAAGAGCTAGTCCCTAGAAATACGCATACAGGTACATGAACATGTTAGTCTTAATAGTTGTAAAGTAATTGTTAATGTATACCCTTAAAATCGAGCTAACGGGGTGGCAAACGGTATCGCCATCTAGCGGTGGGTGGTAAATTACATTTTATACATTTTATATATCTATATATATTTTATAGCTACATATATATATATATAACTTGTGTTTAGTATTTTCAACAACCAGTTTTGTAGAACGACAGTAGCGCCATCTCTCCATAAGAGGCCTAAGCCTGTCTACGAATAGTTCCAATTAGGCTCCGCTAGATGGCGGTTTCGATTCCTTAGTGGCGCCATCTCTCCGTAAAAGGCTCAAGCTTGTCCGGGAATAATTCTTATTCGCCACCGCTAGATGGCGGTCTCAATTCCTTAGTGGCGCCACCTATCGCGTCAAAGTAGGAACTATTTCACGACAAGCTTGAGCCTTCTGTGAAGAGATGGCGCCACTATGTAATAGAAACCGCCATCTATCGGAGCGGAATGGAACTATCTCCGACGATGTTCCTTATGTGGGGACTCGCCTTACGGCATATCGCTCGGTGCAGGTCGAGCTTGAACGCACATGGCGTATGCGTGGGGTGGGGGAAGACGCCCATGGCGGCGGCCATTACGTTGTAGCGAGTCCTTGCGTTCTGTCGAGTTTTTCTATCTGCATTTTTGTTAACATAATAATGTAGTTGCTTGTTAATTTTCTCAATCACGGTTTCTATCAAAGTGCAGTTAGACCAACCGGAATTTAAATAACCCATAGACTGCCGACTAATTATCACTTTACTTTATCTGCTAACCTCTCCTTCCTAATATTTACATTTTCTCCTTCATTCCTTTCTTCCCTTCAACTCTCGCCAAAAAGCAACAAAGTGTAAATAAACTAAAGAAAGTGAGAGTGGGGAGGCGAAAAAGACGTGATGTTTTCTTTGGCACTTTATTGACGCAGATGTAACAATTTTCACGGAATACAATATGTACAATTGCTTAAATTAATATGGCGCATCAGAGGACAGGACGAGAACGTAAATCGGAAACGAGACATCGCGAGTACGCACCGATATTTGAGCGACAAGTTGACACCCTTCGTTTTATTGCTCGCGAATCGCTCGCTTCACATTCGTTGACTATGAGAATGGTTGCACGCGTATCGGTATATCACCGATACACACTGGCTGGTAAAAAATGTTATAAAAACAAAACAAACAAAAAAGAAACCTGAAAATAAACAAAGAATATGCACCTGTACGCGACACTCGCTAAGGCTCCACGCAGGGGTATTAGCACGATTCTTATAAATGGGCTCTAGGACACACAAAATGCACAGTATCGCTCATGCTTCGATTGGGCGACATTCTTCCAGTGTGCAGCCCTGTTTACGAGACTGTGAGTATTAATAATAAATTAAAATACTTATACGATAGATATGTAACGTATGAAATGCCACTTTGAGATTATTTCGCTGTTACGGATGCCCATGTTTCACCTCAAGACACGTGAAATCGATAAAACTAATCGCAGTCGGCACACGGAAAATCGTGCGTCGATATTTATTAGATTAATCTCTTGCGATCCTATATCCAGGGATGGGCAAAGTTTACTTAAGAAGTTTTCGAGCCACAAACACCTCGCTAATTTGTATTCCATTTGTAGCCTAACACTTAAAACTATTCGCAAGTTGTACTCGTGTTTACTCTTCGTATTTTGCATGAATAAATAACTATAAAAATCTAAAGTTCATATATAAACTGTACAAAATTTTTTTTTAAGTTTACAATTTTGTCTTCTACGAAATTTAATATCTTCTTTAATTCAAAGAGCAAACACGATATTAATATCGCGTACACGCGACCTAAAGCGATGATGTATTATAGAGGTATAGTATTTCAATTAGAAGTATCATTCGTACGTGCCCATCCCTAGCCTTACGTAAGGCACCAGAAAATCTAAACTCTATGTACGCGAGCTATCGTCGATCGACTCGATTCGAAAAGTCGCGAATCGAAAAATTCTGCACCACCATCGGAAAATCCTATGTCAATACTTCTTCTTGTATTTCCGATACCTCTCTTCCACGGAGTGTCTGTGCAGCTGATTTATAAGATCGTTCGGTACGTACCACAGCTTCTCCGTGTTACTGAGGAGAGCTTCCGTTACCTGGCAGCATACTGCAGCCATGTTAACCTGAGCGGTAAGGTCGGTACGATCATGAGGGTGAACGTAACGCGGTGGAAACAGCGAAGGCGCCACTATCATCGCTACGTTGTGGATCGACATTTTATTGTACGCCTGGTTCTCGACGACCACGTTCAAGAACGTCATCAACGCCTTCAAGGTACAACGATGCTCTATAGGTAACAGTAGCACCAGCAAATTCAAAGCGTACGACAACTCTTGACGATCCTTTACTCCTGTAACACAAAGAGAAGACAGTGTGAGACGCGTACAATCTTGCTAAGACCTCGCAATACTTATTGTCAATTTACGATACTTACTATGACTTTGGTAGAAAGCGTCGATAAGCTCGATGGTGAGCAACGGTTGAGGCAGATCGCGTACCAACTTTTTCAGAACCGCGGACAAGTCGTGAGACGACATACGCTTGAGCAACCTGTCTATCTCTTTGGGTTTGGAGTAGAAATCCGTTTCCAACTGTGAGCATATCGCCTCCACCTACGCACAACCATCAAAATTAACTCCATGAGAATCACACGAAACGACCAAGTAATTTTGTATGGATATTTACTTTTTGCTTGTGTCCCCCGACGCGGAGAATTCCTTCCTCCTTTACGCCGCGTTTCGTCAATTCGTTAAGAACTTTCTGGAACACTAACGGTACATTGCTTTCCTCGGATGTCAGCTGGCTATCTCGAAGCAGCAGAGTCGACAACGATGCGCCGAATAAGTTCCCAGCTATTAACACGACAACGTTGTTAATCAAGGGAACAAGTCTTGCGAAGGGTTCTCTACCAGTGGACACGCCTGATCTATGCGAACCTTTCGTCCGACGCTTGTTTGGTTTACGTTTCTTCAACGGTACGTTGTACTTGTCGAAGACTGCCGTCAGTTCGAGCCACAACAGCGACTGCAACCTTGTGAGATCTCTCTGCGATAACGTTTCAACTCCCAGTCGCCTCTGAACCTCGTCGGACGCAAGAGTTTCCGCCGCCCATGCTTGGGACTTTTCTTCGTTCGTTCTACACATTTCCTCGAAGCTCAGGTGACCGTGAGACGACGTGCGATTCAGAGGATGCGTTATCAGACTCTCATCCGCTGGTCTCGTTAACCCGTATAGGCTGCTGTGGCTTCGAGTCACCGTTGCGTGACTGCCAGAGTTTCTCCTACAATTGCACATAACGAGAGTGACGAGTGATGTTACGAAAGCTCATCCATATTTAGCGTTACCTCAACGTCGAATCCTTGGATGTGTTCAACTTCTCGATGGATTCGTTGCCCAAGCTCGTGTTCGCGACCTCGCTGGGATCGCTACCGCTGCGCCTTTGTATAGTCGGCCTCGAAACGTGTATAGTTCCCAACCTGTGATATCCTGTTAGCTGTATACCTTCTACAATTGATCGTATAGTTAGCGTAAATCTACAATGTCGAGAATTGTGCGGTAAATTTACCTGAATCGCTCGCAACATCTCCTCGCAACCAGTTTCCAGCGCGTCTGAAGATTTCCTGAACAGGCAGTGGAGTCGGCGGTGGACCTGGCACCGTATGCACCGTCGTCGACGGTGCACTTGGAGTTCTGCGTACCGTTTCTTTACCCTCGTTCGGTGCGCGTTGGAATACCGACACGAAGTTCGGTACGGTGATGCTTTGAAAAAGAAAATGGAATTATTTACCCTGTCGACGACCACGACGATTATTAATGGACTTGAAATGTGTTGGTGGTTTCTTACTTTGCATGATTCGCGTCGATAACGGTAACCGTCGACGGAGACGGCGGCGATGCATTCTCCGGCGTCGCACCAGGAACGGAATCTAAGGAATCGGGCGTAGCGCTACGCGACCTTGTCCCCGTACTGGACACCTATAAGAAACGATTTACTGTGTCATTTATAGTTTAATAATTAAGAGAGATCAGATCCACACCTCCACGTCTTTGAAGACGTCTCGGATGTCTGGCTTGCGAACTCGCTGTCGCTGATTAAAACGTTGCTTCACTGTGTGATTGAGCGATCTGACTCGACGTTTCACTGCCTCCGCTTGTGCTCGCGATAAGGGACGTAACGCTGCGCCTAGTTCTTCCGGTTGCACTTCCTGTCCAGCTTTCCATGCTTCCGTCAGCTGTCCTAGTCCAGCTGTACGCAACCATTCAGCCTCTTCTTCTCCATCTGAAACCAACAATATTAATTATTGTTCGAATTAATCTTAGGTTACTAAAGAATTAATGTTATAGGTTAAACATACCATCATAATTGCGTGGACATTCTTCCTCAAGATAATCATCCAACAACTTAGTTTCTTCTATCATTTTTTGATACTCCTCCCAATAATCCGATAAGTGATTATCACCACCCACATACCCAGCTCCCTGTGGCCTTTCCATAGTTTCAAAACTTTGTCTCTCGAGCCTGGACAACTTTGACTTGTACCTTAGAAATAGTTCTCATTTATGTCTGAAACAAAGATATCTTTATATCATTGTCTAAGTCACCTTAAGCTAAATTGACGCATTTCTATTGTCATAAGTCAGCCAATAATAATTTCCGCAGATAAAAGTAGCGATTATCGATAGCCTTGCGCGATTAAAAACAAATCCAAACGAAATTAATCCTTTTAAGAAATTAATAATCGCTTGTCTAAAAGTGGCACACAAATCGAATTAACATACGCAATCGCCTCGAGGAAGCATCACTGACACGAATGAACAACGACGCGGAAGAAAAGTCGCGTGAAACGGAACATAAACAAATATCGCAATAAATTCCAACGCGAGATAAATGCGTATTTCTACATCAAACGAATGCAAACACGCGCGGATGCATACTATAGCTGCATGAATAAACCTCGTCGCGTATACAAAGAATGGGAGAGCAAAGATGAGCAAAATTTTAATCGAATAATAAGGCATATATTCTTGAGGTTTATTCGAGTGAACAATTAAATTTATATTTAATCATTGTAAAATATTTCATTATTCCATTTGAGTTCCAATTTTTGTTTAATTAAAAATTTATCTCTTATTTGATATACGAGATTTGTATCTATGTAGATAAAAATGTTGTCCCATCTGATCTAGAAAAAGAAACTTTACAAGCCTAACCTCTACGCAGTAGAGCGTTTTGCGCGGGCAACGGAAGAAACGAGAAATTCGTGAATGAAGTACGTACGTTTCTGAATTAAGCTCATTCCATGAGCGGCGTACCAACGTCTGCACGTTCATGGTATTCCCAAAATAAATGATATATTGGCGACGTTCGACGTAGCCAAAATGCTTGAATAACACGCACAAAGAGGCAACTTCTCGATGTCACAATTGACGATGCGTTCTTTTTTTCCCTCGAGGTAGGTAGATTTACGCGTAAATGATAGAGACTATTTACTAATTCCAATAATTAATGTATTCCGTGCGTCCCATCGTTAGCGAGACCGTCGATTCCTCGACCTAAATACGACATAACGAGTCTATCTCGAAATCACGACAGACAAATTTGCGTGTTTGTGCATAACTCCGCGCTTCCACAAGTTTAACTCACATTTGGAAAATAAAAAAAAGAAGGCGAGAACGTGTTCTCGCAACTCCACACAACCTGTTGCTGACGCATATATTACTCCCACCTTGTATCTGTATTACACTGATTCACGATTCACGATATTGCTGTTTTCAAGCTGACACCTGTGCCTCCCATTTTTTTTAGGCGGCGACACTTAGTTTACTGAATTCATCGTTAGGACGCTACAAACTATGGGACGTGACGAACATTGGAGTTTCGCCTCTATAAAGGTACTTTATGGCAGAAGCGTTAACGATGAACAAGAGTAGTCAAGAGTAGTCGTCAGGTCGTCACATAGTAGTGGACGAAACTGCGAACAAAACAAATCTTTTCAAAGGTTATGGATACGGCTAGACATTTGATATATCCGGTTGAAAGAATACAAACGTCAAACGCTACCCCATTTCACATACAATGAACTTTTCCATATCGCGTACTTGTAACTTAGCAGTCTTTTGGTTAACTTGTGAGATTACACGTATGAGATAACTAGAAATTGCACGGTACTAGTAGTAAACAACATTTAGCCTGTATTTTAATACAACCTGTATATAAATATACGTGTATGTGTGGATTTGTAATTATGTATAAAATTTTGGTCATACTTTTACTCCTGGTATCTGGAGAACATGATATGCGAAGAGGTGGCAAAAGGGATACCAGGTACGTATTCAAATTCTAAGGAAATTTTGAATTTTGGTATCAGGAGAACATGCTATGTGAACAGATGACACGAGGAACGCCAGGTACGTATCGAAATTCTGAGAAAATTTTACATTTTAGTATCAGGAGAACATGATATGCGAGGAGGTGGCAAAAAGAACACCAGGTACGTATCGAAATTCTAAGGAAATTTTATAATTTGGTATCAGGAGAACATGATACACGAGGAAGTGGCAAAAGGAACACCAGGTACGTATTCAAATTCTGAGGAAATTTTATATTTTGGTATCAGGAACACATGATGTGCGAGGAGGTGGCACGTTTGCGCCTAC